TAATATATTGACAATATCAAATAAAATTATCGATATCTTTTTGATATTATCAATAACAGAATATCGAGATACTAAAATATCAAATATCAAAAGAATTATATCCATATTGTCGATATATCGATATCATATGCTCATCCCTAATCGAGATTTCCACGAGGAGAAAAGATAAATTGCCAAAAGATTCATCACGCAAGGTAATTTTTTTTTTAAGTATATAGAAAACATTTATGCTGTTTTTGTGTCTACATTTTTTGATTCAAGTAAAACTTAATATTAATAACAAGAAATATTATAAGGCCTTACGAGCCATCCGCATGATGTTTGAGCGAAAACTGTACGTGTATATATATATATACATACACATGTAACGAATTCAACTTGTAAATTTTTACAAGCGAGTGTTTTTTGAGTTGAAAACTGAATTCTTAAAATCATACGGGATGCTGGATCTGCATCTCACATATGACAGACCCCGGATACCCCTCTAACTAATTAATAAAATATTGCGAAAAAATATATATTTCTTGTTATTAATTTCAAGCGAGACTTACTTCATAATAGTTTAAAAGACTTAATATTTTTTCTCAAAAGAAACTCTCCTATGTGCAACTTGTAGTTTCTTTTACGATTTCACTCGAGATAATTATCGAAGTGACAAACAAAATTGGAAAGTCTGAAAACGCAGCATTTCTCATTTATGATTCACTTTTCGATGAGTCATAATTGTTATCGAAATCGAGAAAAAATTTTTGATATTAAATATTCTTAAAACAAACATCATGAAGTATAGTCTGTTTTCGGCGGGCAAACTTTATGTTGACGTGGAAAATTATTGCGACAGTTAACGCACGGTTTAATGAAGACAAACGGCGCACGTCAAAGCACGTTTTGTCAATCAAGAATTCAAGGTTCGCCAAAAAAACAACTGTGCAAATACATTTATTTATTCGCTCTCGCGCGAATTAAAATCGACAAACTGCGCAGTTTTGAGCAGTTTTTCTCGCAAAACACTAACAGTCAAATTAATCATCAATATAAAAATAAATTGAGAAAGCAATCAAACAAAGACTTTTATAATTGCAAAGTCAAAAACACGATTAATATTTTACAAAAACAATGTAAACTGTGAGAAACCGATAAAAGTTGTTAATTAATTAAATAGTTTGTTAATTTGAACGATTAGAATCACCGAAAAAATTGTATTCCTGTTTTGAGAATATCCCACTTACTTTAAGTATATTTTATACTAAAATAGGCGCCAAGAAGAGTTTCTTATTTTAAGAGGAAAATCCTCTAA